CTAGCGCATTTCACACAAGCTGCTAGATTCACTTTCGCCAGAAAGTCGTGTATGCCTAAGGTTGAAAATAAATTATGTTTATAGTGAATGCCCCTATGAATGGTTTTATTTTTACGATTTAGTTTTAATCCAAATGATGCGTGTGCTACGTGAGCGAACATCAAAGATCACACAACAGAAGTATTCATTGCATACATATACTTCGTAGTAGACATCCTTAACTCCTTTCTGCTGTCTGTTGTTCTGTTGTCGGTGTTTCTTTGTTTGAATATGGCGCTTATCACATGCTGTGTGGTATCGGCGTTTGGTATCAGGGCATTTTAACGAGTACGAGTACAGGAGACCAGTATCGGTGCATCCCTAGCAAAAAGGCAATGGCTTCAGTGTCAGGACCCAGAAGATTGCAAAATCATATATAATATTATTATACAATATTATGAATCTATAAATACATCATTTCTTTTGTTAAAGAAAAATTAAAAAATCTATAAATTTCTAAACATTTCTATCAAGTCTCCATGAGCGGACATTTTCCATTACTACTGTAATATATATATATATATATACTGTATATAGCCTATATATAAGGAATAATTGACGATAGGCTGTTGAATTATTATAAAATAATGTTTACACCTCGGGTGTGCATTATTTTCGAATAATTCAACGGACCGGAGTCAATTATTCCGCTTATACTTCGGTTACCTCACCTCAAGACATCGATCAGATTATGTATTTCAAGGCATCTGTCCGGTTTTTGTACTTAAATGCAATTTGTGTGTGTAGGATTTATTTCTTACGCATCTCATCCAACGCCTGCGCTGCTAATTCCAAAACGTCATTTTAGACCTAGTAACGGAGGCTTGAGCCGTTGATGGCAGACTAATGCAGTTAATAACTAAGTTATTAGAGAGAGAGAGAGATTAAGCGTCTGAATTACCTCTCTACAGTGTTCGGCAGCAGCGTCTCTACTAATAGTGAAACTTTAAGTTCATTTTCTTCAAGAACAGCGCCGCTGTTACCTCACTTGTGAGAAATGTCATGTAGCTTTTAAGTTGCTAAACTATTTTACTGAAAAAATCGTCAAGAGTAGCGCTAACATCGTTAGCACGTGTGTTTTCGTGTGTGCCTGTGTCTGTACTGTATGTGATAATCTGGAAATAATCTGTCGTTTTTATCCTATTGTTTACTATTTATTTGCTTGGTCAGCGTCATTGTGGGTTTTGGTTATTTTGCTGTTTTAGGCTGTAAGGACCTTTCAAGTAACTGAAATCATTTGGCGAAGTGATCTGGACATGTAAATTAATGTGGTCAAGACCTGCCTGGAACTACGCTCGCCGTGCGTTTCGGGCAATCCACGGCCCATAGTCTAATGTGTGTGTTAGAGAGAGAGAGAGAGAGAGAGAGAGAGAGAGAGAGAGAGAGAGAGAATGAGAATGAGAATGAATTACCTCTGAGTCTGTGCGTCACTTAACAGCGTTCGGCAGCAGCGTCTCTACTAATAGTGAAACTTTAAAGGGTTAGTTCACCCAAAAATGAAAATTGGCTTGTGTTT